ATTTCGGGGGCTCCATTTCAAATTTTTGGGAAATTTTCGGGGGCTACTTTTTCAACTTTCGGGGGCTCTTTTTTCTGGGGCTACTTTTTCATTAATTCATAAAAAACGATAGGCCTACACTTTGTTGAGATTTGTTTAGTAGGCTAAGGTTTCAGGCTTCCTTCTTCATAATTGCCTATTTAAAAAAAAAAAACATTTTTCTAGTTATAAATAACTAAGTTTTCATTTGATGCAAGAACTGTAACATAATAGACCCTAGATTGTGATTATTTCTGACCATTAATTTCGATAATCATTTTTCAAAGTAAAATTTTCACAAGAAAATCAGACAGTCGTTTAAAAACGTAGACATTAGTAATACTTTTACTAATTCTAAGCTCAGGTTTCGTAAATCTATTCACGAAACTATATTAAAATCGCGGCAATAATGATGCAAACCAACAGATAACAATTTCAAAGTGTCAAATCTCTTCGACTCAAGCTTAGGTGAACTCACACACACTGCAGCGTAACTCCAGGATCGAAGCTCAACACCGGCGCCGCAGGCGTCGGACGCCTACGGTGCGCGGTGTTGGAGCTTCCTGCAAGCTCATCGCAACTCACACACACTACACATCAGCACTGCACTTTGTGTTGACTGAAGGCAGCTTGCGATTGAATTGTCAGTCCGATGGTTTTCTTGTGAAAAATTTCCTTTAGAAAATGATAATCAAAATTTAGTAGCATGGCCGTAATAATCACAAAATAAGCTTTCATTTCATACCTCCATTCATGAAAATTATATAAAAATCGCGGCAATAATGATGGAAATAGGTCCCTAAGTTTGGACGTGGACGGGAAGCTTCGTGTGTATCTCTGTGGCTCGTGCAGCTACTATATACAAAGGATATCCTATAGAAAGATGCTTTACTCGGGTAAGCCCGACCCTGTGCGTCGTGCATTTAATACGCAACTTAATGTGAGTGGATGGTCATCGGTCGTGTGTCTACGGATGTCATGTTGAATATCCATGAGGTATCTCTGTCGTCACGCATATCCTGCATTATGCATGTCGCGTCTGTTTTCGCCCTGGACGTCGACACGGAGGAGGACCTCGGGCGGAGTATAGCCAATTCCACAGAGTAGACTCTCCCGCGGACGATGGCACAGGGCACGGGTACCCCGAGGGGAGGGTTCAGGAGGAGATAGCCGCACCAACTTCGGTCGGCGATCTCATTAAAAAACAATAGAATACAAAGGCTCGCCGAGACGTCGCGCCCCCCGCGGAGCCTTAGCGTATTATTATTATAGATTTCTGCTTTCATGGAAATAAACTCCCTTTAAGATTTGACAGCTGTTCAGTGCAAGTGGGTCTGTATACATGTATACATGTATGTACATGTAGCTGACAGGAGAGAAGAGAGCATAACATGAGGGACAATATTGACAAGGATTCAAGACTGAGAATTGCAAAAAAAATATTACAGTTATTGTTACTGATAGACAGGAAAACACAGTAAGCGAGAGACTTGTATGATGATAAGAAAATGATGTTGACTTAGAGAAAACACTGCAGTCTGCAATGGGGTACATGGACCTGTACACCAGAGAGTGAGAACTAGAGAGAGGAGAGAAGAGAGGATATTATCGCTTCAATGAACCTTGACCTCAGGCACAAATACTAGTTCCTGTACATTGTGCAGTCGGCCTTTCATCAGCTCAAGTGCATTGGGAATATTACAATGGTGCATAAGGTCTTCTCTAATACGTTATTCATGGTTCATAGAGTATGTGTATGAGTACATGTACAGAATTCAAAATAGAAGGCCACTGTCTATTCAATATGAAGCTTCAGGGAAAACATTCTCACTATGATATATTTCACAATTTTACTCACTCTTGCATTCTAGCAATCCCTATCCATACAGCATATTCCATTTTGCATTTTGATCTAATATGCACTCTTACCACTGTATATTTTCACATGTACATGTACATTTAGTGTGCATTTCATATATTGGCCTACATGTACATGTGTACATACATGTGTACATACATGTACATGAGAGTACATATCATGTACACTAGTGTGACGTGACTTTTCAAGATAAGAATTCTGGTACAACATGTAAATTCTTATCACAATGACATCCATGTTTTTCTTCAAATTGACATCCTCTGTCATGCTTGTAATAATGGCGATTAGATCAATATTTGTTCTTCATGAATAATACATGATTCATACTCGCCACAATGTCTACACCTAGTGCACTTGTACATATAAAGGTTGTGGTTAGTGATTAAGATGCATTGCAAGGTTTAACGTTTAAAGTTGATACTCTAAGCAAATAAATGTCCCTTAATTTGTTACCTACGGCAAGTATTATGTTATTTTTAAGTTTTTCAATTACTTAGTATATCACAAAAAAATTCTGTCTACTCGAAATCCTCAATTGAAATGTCTAAAATATCCGCCTCTCTTTGCATAGAAAATCAGTCACGACGCTGGTCTACTATTTATGACCTCACGTCCGGGAGAGAGTATATTCACGTACCCGGATGTTCCATAGCAAACATGTGCAGAGTGATACGATTTTCTGCATATTTTTGTTTCAAAGGCTGAAAAGTCTAATAAATCATAATTCTATGTACAATTCTTTACCTTCCCCTAGTACTTCATAGTATTAATATCAATTCCCCTTTTAAAAATTATGACATATACATGCCAACGATGTGCTATTAGTCGATATTTTCACCATGTAATTTTTGTTTTGGTGTTGAAATCGGCCCAGGCACGGAGTGAACAGTAGCTGTCTACCCATGCACAGTTCATTACCATACACTGCAGCGATCTCCCGATGGTTTCTTCTTCCTTTTTCCCATGTCTTTCGCCTTCCTTGGCCCTGAACATCCTTCATCTACCAATTCTGACACCGGTAGTCAGGAGCAAGTCTTTGTTAGTTGTTTTTCTTAGCTGGCAACGTCACTTTCATTCTCTTGCAATTGCCGATAAACATATAACTAGCGCACGTACGTTCCATCACAAGCAAGCAGCGCCTAGAGCAGCGGCTTGGTCTTACCTCCCGATTCTGCTCGCTCCACGAACGTTCATGCAAGAGCCGCATCACTCGCCAAAATATTATAGAGGAAGCGTGCTTGCATGATCTCGTTCAAGTTTGATATTTTACAACATAAAATGTTTAACTGGTACTGTATCCTTTTTTGAGGCAGTCACACACATCTATGATAAGTACTATCATAGTTCTAGACCTATTCGTTTTACAAAACTGCTCATGTACATCTGATGACAATAATTTATAATGCATCCGCCTATTCATAAGTGCACGATTTAACTTTAATTCCTAAGCAGTAAACTCGTCTTAAATCTCTACCAAATAGGTGAATATGAGGATTTAAAAAGAAATCAGCGACTGGAAAATGTTGCTTCGTTATTCTTCATTCAAATGAAAACAGAAAATCCATCAAATATACTCCTTAACAACAACAAATCTAAGCTCTGACAGGATAGCATTTACGTAGGGATATCACTGCCATTCACTCTCACTGAGCCCATGACTCCCGTTCGTGACGTCACGGATAGAGGCCCGACTCTACGTGCACTTCCGGGTTTCAGACTTATATATTTTGGTAGAGTTTACTCGAATAAATTCATTATTCTAAACTTGTTTTGTCGGGTGGACACCATTTGGTGTTATTATGGGGGTTAAAAGCTTTCTATTTATGTAATTATCTCAGTATTTGGGATTGTCTTAGAGTATCAGCTTTAAGATATATACTTTATTAGGAATCTATTGACATTGAAATTCTCTCCCCTCCCAGACTATTGAACATAGAATAAAGGATCCTATGAATCACGAAACCTTCTATATGAACATGTAGGGTCCATCCATTGTTATTGTATAGATATGTGGTTATAATATGAAGATACATGTAAAAGTTAATGAATCCTGTAAGATATGGTTTCATTTTAAAAATATTTCCTCTTGGTCTGTGTATGCAGTGAGCTACATGTACAGAACAGTCTTCTACTGAATGCCGGTTGATTATCAATTAACACTTTGGTTTCTACATGTCAACGCATTATCATAGGGGTTTAAGAAAGGATAGATTATTTATGAAATAAAAGGAAATAAAAGGGGAAAATGCATATTTTATTTACACTGTATCTCAGGTAGCTAAAATAATGTGATTGTATTGTGAACAGAGTATTATATTTCTTGCCTGTGTACCAGTAAAACCTCTCAAAGCGATAGATTGCCATGTCTTTGTTTTGTGCTCAGTGCAAAAAAGGAGTGTACATGTATACTGTAGTAGTTCTGGTGAAGTACAGTATACATGTAATAATATAACCTTTGATTTGAAATTTAAAAATCTGCCACATGATTTATAGTCTATTGAGAGTGTTGGTGTCAAAATATACAATATGAAAAATGAAAGTGAAACTGTTAAATGAGGTCATGTATTATTCAATGTGTATCAAAAGATTCATGTGTGCCAAAAAATTGTTATTGTTTCCAAGATTTTTGATGGATTATAGTTTATATATATATTGGAAAGAAATTCAGCGTAGGCCTAGCAAGATATTCATACACCAGCTGTGCATAGGTTTTACACGTAATTGTCCCATATATATGCTAATTTACATCCTGGTCAAGATTGTAAATTATTTTTCAGGTACGTCTTAGGTATATATCATTTTACCTACATTTATGGAGTCAAATACTTAGCAGCAGCTAAGAATTATTAGTATTTTGCCATTTATCAATTAGTTTTTAAAAATGTATTTTGATGATACATGTAAAGGACTTGGGTCGAAACATTATCAGGGGGTTTTCAGATATTTATACAACATCATACTTTGGCTTTATTTGCGGGCGCAGCAGACAGTACTGTTAAGGATCATTCTGAAAGCTTTCATGTATTATAAATACGGTATGCATTAAACCCAATTTCTAATTTTTGTTTTCTTTTTCTTTCTTGTTTTGTTTCAATCTCTCCAGGTTTCCTTTTAATGTGATTGTATACAAGAGATGTCCAGGATGCCCAACCTGACAACAGTCCACGAGACTGGGTCCCACTCCCATGGTGGACACCCTCATTCTCGAGTTAGCTCACGGTCACATGTAAGTAATGCTTACCTACCTACCCCTCAAGTTACATGCACTTATTCACTATTCAGGCTGAGTGATTCCTTGCAGGACTCTTTAGTTCTTAATATGTCAAGTTGAGGAAGAACGGCTGATTAAGTAAGCCATTTTTAAAGGTAAACACCAGTTATGGTCATGCGATTGCATTGTGAAAGAAACGTTGTGGAATCGATCAGAAAAGATTGATCATCTAGCATCTAGCATCTGCAAGGTTCTGGAATCATCAAAATGATAACAAATTTGGCCCATTCCTCGTAAAGTTACAAGCACTATACACAGAAAGATGTATATGGGATTACCCTATATCTCTCACAGTCCATGAAAGAAACAAATTTACCAAATATATGAATTAGTAGGCGGTTTCCCTGCAAATTTTTTATCATCATGTATTAGTCAAAACATATTCTTTCACATGATTAGAATGAGAGCTTCCATTTCATTTTTTGAAATTGGGGCGTTTCCAATACTGGTCTTTACCTTTAAATTGAATATTGCCATCCTTGATTGGCTGAGAATGCATGAAAAAAAATGATGTGTATCATAGACATTTAAATTGAAAAGAAAATATTCAAAATGGACTTGCATGGTAATTTAGCTAAGCGCAATTTGATTTTGTACATGTAGAAGATTTAGCTTTCTACTAATCTTATATTAGGTTTATCCGGGGGGGGGGGGGGCAGTATATAAGTCAAATTACATTTACAAAGGGATCTTGCTATAGCTTTCATAAGAGTCATGTTACAAAATCAGATATTTCTGATTTTTAGAGGGTCATTTTCCAATCATACCTTTTTATTGTCAAGCAGAAGCCACATACCGGTAAGTGACATGGGCTTGACCACATTTTCCTCTTTGATTATTAAATACAGGGAGATGATTCAACCAATTCTGGCTCATCAAGGAGTAGGGGTAGAACAGGTGATGACCAACCCCATGTTGGCAAATACCGTCTCATCAAGACTATTGGCAAGGGAAATTTTGCCAAAGTCAAGCTGGCAAAGCACATCCCAACTGGCAAGGAGGTAAACTAGCATCATCTATCATACTGTCTGGTTTTGTTTCTCAGTTTAGTCTAGACTTCTTTATGTACTCTAGGACTCTCTTTCCTTGTCTCAAAGATGACATACCACCACTTTTGAAAGATGTTGTTGTTTATTATTTCATTCCATATTTTATTAGGGAGTTTTTGCTTTAATTGGGCACCATATGAACCGTAAGTAGAATTAATGATATAGAAATAGAGCGTTGAAAGAATCTTGCATATAAACATAGGCAGGATACTTATTGAAGACAGAAGAATGGTGAGTATTCTGTTGTAGAATTTAAAAAAAAGACTTTAGCTAGGGCAAATAATTCACGTACATGTGAATTCCAATTTATTCTATATCACTTCTTAAATTTATGCATAGATGTACTTGATATGTGCACAACATTTTTGTCCAATTATCTCTTATCTTCCCTAATCTCTTATCTTCCCTAATCTCTGACTCTGAGCAAAACAAAAACAAAACAAACTCAATAAATTCTGGTTTCATTATAACATGTGTACATGTTGATTTATGAAGGTATCAGTCTGTGTATAGATCTACAACACATGATTGAGGTTGCTCTCTTGACCGCATACTGATTGATGTCTGTCTTTAGCCTCAAATTAGAGACGTACTTCCCTTTTCAGGCCCTGAAGAATGTTCATTGCTGGAACTTCAACTATTCAATCCACTTCTTACTCGCTATCCCCATTTCATCTCTCTCTCTCTCTCTCTCTCTCTCTCTATCTCTCTCTCTCTCAATTCCTCTAGAAGAGACAATCAGAGCAATTATAAAGATCCACTTGCGTTGTAGCCTGATTTGTTTTCCTAATGCCATCATGGCTATGCTGTGGAATTTGATGTATTAATAGGAAGCTTTTAATCCGAATGGAAATTAATGAGTTTGTGGTCACTCGCTCAATGTTTGCTTCATGTTCCATGTAGTTGCGAAAATAAAAATGTTTTTGTTTGTGTTGACTCACTTGGAAGTTGTAGCTGTACAGTGTTTTTTGGCGATGAATGGATTTCTTCACAGCACATCTTGGGTTTGTTTCCAGACATTTTTACTTTCCTGGAGGCTCTCTCAGTTATGTTTTCACAGAACAGATACATTTGAACCTAGCCTAAATATTTGTCATTCAGTCAGAGCACAAAAGTTAAGCTAGATTGGTCATCAAGACACACACAAAATAAACAAGGACATTGGACTATGGTCAGCGATCATTGGTGCTACAAGTTTATTGGTTTAGAGTCAAGAGTTCATATTTGCACAGCCCTGTTGTGCAAATTGTGGTGGGCTAGATTACCAGGGTCCAATCCAATCCAAGCTGGACTGCACTTTGGGTTATTGCTGGATCTTGAGTACTATAAGGAGGCATACAAATGAATTAAAGCAGTCTCCCCCCCCCCCCCCCTGCCCCCCCTCCCATCCCATTCATGCTTTTGTGCCAACAGTTAATAAGTTAATTATCTATTCTACATTGCATAAGCACTTCAAGTTTTAAAATCATTGGTGCAAGGTGAAAGAAATTCTAATTCTGTGCTGGTTTTGTAAAGGAATAATGATTCAATAATGATTTATTGTGATATATAATATAAAAAGCAAACAAAACCTTTTTGTGCTATATCATATTCATAACCTTGTGATGAAATTACAATGGCTTTGTTATATTTTTCCATGTTAAGCACATTATTATAATGAGTATTATTATTATTACCGGTATCATTATTGTTTGTAATGATAGCAACTATTGCGTCAGTTTTTTAGTCCAGGTTGTTATTTGGTAAACATGCCACAAAAATCCTGTAAGCCAATCAGGTCATATTCTTGATCTCTATCAGGAAAATATGCCATGAAGCAGGACAGATCATCGAGATGCTGTAACTATAAACAGAGTTTTGATTGGATTGTGACATATCCACAATGTGATCTTGTCTCTTTAACAACAATCATTCATGTAACAAAATAGTGCATCGCAGCCTGCATGTTCATTGACGTTGCATGCCTAACATACAGACTCCCACTTGTCCAATAACAAATGAAAGGAGATACCTGATCCAAAGCCTCATCTCATTTAAATACGAGCATAGACACCTATTTATTCATACATCAGGATTCCCCTTCAAATTCCTGTCAATTCCTCCAAGAATCTCCGACAAGGATGGAAAATCCAATTTCGTCTGGAGAATAACATGTTGGCAGCCGAAATGTCACACACCATGCGTTCTGGTCACGATGCAAGACTATGTCACAGTAGCATACCTAGCAGCCTACGGGGGCATCTGCATTGCACAAAGGATGGTGGTACTCCATTATGTTATTCCAGATGGATAGGAAATAAGTGTACCGACATGAGTCGATAGTAATCTCGCAAGAAATCTTTAAGGGTAATAGTAACCCAACATCCAAAATTGCAATTTATGTTGAACAGCCAAATGATCTACATTTTGTAGTTTTGAAGGTGGAAGCGTACATTTAGTTTCATCCCAAATTAAAATCAGTGACAATACAATTACCACTTAGATTGTTGCTAGTGCCATATTGCAAGTTTACAAGTATATCAAATGTTACATGAAAATCTGCAATGGCATGAATCTTTTATGTATCATAGAGGAGGCTAATTCATATGACAATAATTTTACCAGTTCAGGGAATGCTTATCAAAAGTTATTTTTGTTTTTGTTAAACAGAATGCCATGGGTATTGTTTACTTACAGTGTTAAGTAGTTTAGTGTTTCTTGACTAAATTAACACAATAAGGTAGACTGGTCCTTTAAAAAGTAAGCAGTGTGGAACTTTCATGCAATTACTTTTCCATGTATATTACATGCTGTGCCTCACAACTTGTACTTATAATGTGGTCATCTAACCCTGTCCATATTTTATTTCTCTGTCTCCTTTTCTGTCTAGTCTGTCTGTCTCTTTCTCTTTCTCCCTTGTTCTTGCTCTCTCTCTCTCTCTTGCTCTCTCTCTCTCTGTTTCTCTGTTTCTCTGTTTCTCTTCTTATATCCCGTCTGTATTTTAGATATGTACATGTACGTGGACAAACGTTTGATCTCCAAAAATGAAAAGCCACTTTGCTATTTGAATATGGATGCTACATGTATTGTAAAGCATTGTCAATTTGTTGTGAGAAGAGTGATGCTTTAGGGTTATCTCATGATGTAGCAATGTATATATATATCTAACGGTTTTATCAATGCAGTGATTATTTTCATTTACTTGTTAGTTTCTATTTTTATGTGGGTGCATTTAAAATTAATTAAACAGCTTAATTCAAACCCAACGAGTTAAAAACAAAATATGACAGGACATAGTCTTTGCAGAAGTATGGTATTTGTATGGGGTATTTCTCCATACATGAACTTTTACACTTTAGACATTCACACAACACAAACATGCAAGTACGTGTAGATGTAATTGCGCATAATGTCAGCCCCATTAGCGCGGATTATGTTACAGTGATAATAGATCTCTACATGTAAACAGTGTAGTTCTAGATGATCTGTATTTCATCTGCTTGCTTCAACCAGTTATAGTTCTTGAGTGAGATGAGTAAGAAAACAGTTTCATCATGTATAATGTAGGATTGATTGACCTAATGATGTTTACTATATGAAATTTCAAGGCAAAGATAGATGGCAGGTAGAAGAAAGACATATATAACAGGGGTTGCATTGATCCAGCCTCTTATTTCTTGGTCATTAAGTTTTGTCCTGCTATGATGTAACATTTAGGATAAAAGGCTTGTGATTGCCATAAACACTATATTTAACGGTTGTAAAATTTGATTTAGTTACTCTTCCCAGTTTACTGACCTTTGGGGGTATTTGTGTCATGGTTTATTTTTTATTTGAAGGAATTCAGATAATGAATTGAATTTTTTAAATTGAATTTTGAATTTAATTTATTAAACCATATACATGTAAAAGCCAAACATACAATAGAAAATAAAATACTTAAAACATACAAGGCAATTATATATTCGGGACCACAAAGAAGCAAATTGCTTATAAATAGGGCCCCCACAAACAAAAAATTAAATTAGATATAATTCAGTCACCATACCCATCTATCACATACTTCATCAAGACAGTGCATTTCTTGTCAGATCTGAATGAATATATTACATCCTAAATCTGTTAATAATATACAATGAGTATGACATGGAGGACATAACTTGAAGAGCTCATAGCAAAGGAGACTTAATGAGTTGTAATGTTGTATGCACAAGTTTGATGCAATCAGTAAGATTAGAAAATGACCATGAGAGAAAACAAGGATAGTAGTTTGACAATGAAGGATCTTCATCAAGACTATGTCATTGAAGAACTCAATTGAAAGGGCACAGTTAATATATGCATTCTATCCTAAGCTAATTATGATTTGCTCTAATTACACACTGGCTGGGACTCTACCTCTTAACTCAATTACTGGTGTATAGCTGGCAGCCACTATCTAATCTCATTTGGTGATGAGTTCATGAGAAATAGAATTTAGGTGGATGCCCATGCCTGTCGTTCTGCTGATGCATTGTGGGTAAGGAGAAATTTAAATCAAGGTGTCGCTGTAGACTTCCCAGATTGAAGTGATGATCTTCTGACTGTGGATGTTGTATCAGATGTTAATCTCTCGTCCTCTTGATTTCCTAATGAAGTTTTTTTTCCTAATGTATTTTTGTTCCTGTAATATAGCTGAATTTCTATTCTTGTTTAAACCAATCAATTTCTTTAGGGATTTCATACACTGAAAGTAAACTCAAAGCAGGTTTTATTGACTAAAGAGATTTGACACAGTGACAGTTGTGAAAAATTCCCAAAATATAATTAGGGATATATTTTATTATTTTTTCTACTTTCATATTTGAATCGTATTGAATTTATAGAACCATAAAAAAAGAAAAGAAAAAAATACAAATCAAATATATGGTCAGGGCCACAAAAAAAGCAAATTGCTTATATATGGAGCCCCCTTATAAAACAAATTAATCTAA